CCCCAAAACCCCAAAACCCCAAAACCCCAAAACCCCGTTAAAATTAACGAAATTGGGAATTATGGAAGTTAAATTTGGTAACTTCTCTGTGGAATTATCTGTATGTGCCTCTTGACCTGGCTCTAGAGTAAGGAGAGTCTTGGCTCCTACTCCTAAGAGAGCCTCTCACTGCTCCTTGTGGCTTGGCTCTAGACTGAGAGCTTGTCCTGGAAGTGTTGTCTGTTAGACTCACTGGTTTTACCTGACTGTTGTAGTCACTTTGGTTTGGGAAAATTTCGTCAGTCGACTTAACCTCTTTGTATTTTTGGAGATTACTACTGAAATCAACCTCGATAGTTTCTGATTCAACTGGAGCATTGCTTGGGAGATATGGGTTAAGGTCTACATGAGTCATTTCAGAGTTTGGATGTTGTTGATTCCAGCTTAAATCCTCCTGTGTGGGTGCTACTCTAGAACCATGTTGGGTGTAAGGAGTCAAATCAACCTCTCTTATTTGGCTCTTAGCATGCTCATTATCAAACTCGATCTGCCTAGGAAATTGCTTATAGCGCATCTTCTCTTTGTTCATTTGGACGACGGTGTCTAGAAGCTTCCCTTCAATCTCTTCAGCCGTGCTTAGAGTTGGCTTTGCGTTTACTATCTCATGATCCTCATGATAAATCAAAACCCAAGGATATTGAGTTACACCAACATTGATAGCTAACTCCTTCAGTTCTTCTCTACTCACATCTATCCGCATGACAGGATATTCCGAGTTGAGAGTCTCCATTATTTCTTGGTCATCATCCTCTTCATTTGAAGAGCTAAACGAGATTAACGAGGGAAACAGAAGTTTTATCTCAAAATTAAATATTTCCAAGAGCCTAATGAAATCTAAAAATCTAAACTGCATTTCTTCTAAGATTGCATCCCTCTTCTCTATCTCGTCCCTTCAAGCCCTCTTTTTCTTCACCCAGTGACTCTTCTTACCTAAAAATGCCAATCAAGCTTGACAAAAATCCCTTATTATTGTTCTGCTCGCTATCATAAAAATAGAACACGGTCTAAACTGTAAGCACAACTATATTACGATCTCTTTGTAGTGCTTGACGAAGAACTCTTCCATTTCAATAGTACTATGTCAGTCTACTAATTCTCTGGAAGCCCGGATTACTGCCACCAGGACTGCCAGTACCAAAAGATGGGTTATTTTCATTTTAACAGTTCAATAATACTAAATTTGGCTGGGGTTTTGGGGTTTTGGGGTTTTGGGG